TTTTATGTAGATAATTGTTTAAATTTTCCTGTTCAGTGCAAACAAGACACTTTGTTTTTCTCTCTATTAAAAAATTTTTTTAATAAATTAATGTTAAAAAAAAGAAATAAAACATCTTAATATTTCTGAGTTACACTGTGCCCATCTCATGTAAGAGGATTGCACTCGGTGATTTTTTAAAAGGTAACTCCCAGTTAAAAGAAGAATCACATTCATTGAACAATGTAGAACGAGTTTACAGAGCACATTGGCTTTTCACCCAACAGTTCATACACATTTTGTTTTGTGACATTTATTGCATCCCATCGTGCAAATATTGAGGTAGATACATCTATTACATACATTATCTCATTTAACTCTCTTGAAAAAACTCTTTTGGGAGACTCAGTTTTTATCATTCCATTTGCAATCAAAGGAATCTAGCGGTAGAGGACTCAACTTGCCTAATTTTTATCAGTTTAATAAGGGGGTGAGTCAAGACTCAGATTTCTATCTGAGTCTCACCACAATCATGTTCCCTTCACCTCAAAGTCCTTTCTCCCATTAAACACCAACTTGATCTGATCTAGGAGGTTTTCCTTGTGGTCGTCTATACTACATGTTATCTTACAAGAGAGACAAAGAAAAGAGACATGAGGAGAGAGAGGGGGGCTTCACCGGCATCTCCTTTGGATTAATTGAAGAGCAGTCAACCGATCTTCTTACTTTAACTACATTCTTAGCTATTATGATATTCCTCTGAAGGGAGATTCGGCTGAGGTGGACATTACTTTGGCTTGAGGTGTATCTGCTGTATCGTAATTGGAACCTAGAGGGCATGATTGTTGAGTCGTTGGATCAAGCACTGAGACACCAGGAATATGTCTTGAAGTGGAAGGCATGCTATGAAGCAATTCCAGGAGAATTTGGAACAGGCTATGGAAGACACATTATCCGTTGAAGAGTAAATGTGGAAGAATTCTCTGACGCTTCCATGAGCAATGTGCTACCAGACCCGCAGTGACACTAACATGCTCATAGTACCCACACTACTCCCTTAGTTAAAAGGAAGCGATCCTCACCTATTATACCATTCTGGGTACCATGCAGAATATGTTTATGAGTTTTTCAGGCAAATTTTCATGTATATATAAATAAGGATATCAATAGCAAAATGCAACAAATATGAAAGCAATAAAAAACTTGAAAAACAAATGTTAATTAAAATACAATTGCTCACCTTAAAAAAGTATATAAACTTAAATGGAGAATATGGTGTGAAATAAAAGCTTCAAATTTTGATACATAGTTAAAATAAAGGTTTCTCTGATTTAAAAGAAAAAGAAAAGCAAGTGCCTTTCCTGCTGGATACTCACCCTCAGGAAGGGAACACAGAAGAAATGTTGTGATAGCAAAGTGTGGTGAAGAAATTAGGTGGTGCCTGGTTGTCAGATAAAATAGTGTCTGGGGTCTTAAAGACTTGCTTCCAAAGAAGCAGCTATAGAAGTGAGAAGTCAACTAAGTCCACATGGAAGAAGCACATCAACATCAGTGGCTCAAGGACTGTAAATCCTATAATCCAAAGCCACAGGAGGGAATAGTGTCAGAACCTAAATTGTGAGATTCAGGTTTGCAGAAGGCTATGGATAACGGTGGAATCCCAAGATACATTTGTGAGATCTAATAAGCCTCCAGCAATTTCCCTCTATCCATAGTAGAGGGATGGGAAGAAACTGGTTACCAAACAGAGTGCATTGGTGAGACGACTATAGGAGATCAGAATGATAAACCTGTCCTGAACGGTGAAAACCTTGCCCATTGATTCTCCCTCTGATGCAGGTTGGGCCTGATTTGGTTTTCAACATTTCCTGTGTTTTTCAGTTTTCGTATTGGGGTTTATCTCAGATGCGTTTTGTCCTTGGTGATAACCCTCCTGAATTTTGGTAATATGTTTTTCTATTTCTTGGTGTAAGAAACCCAAGATTGATGAACTTATAGAGACAGCAAGTAGAATTAGGGTTCAGGGGGAGGTGTACAGTCGGGGAAAGAGGTAAACAGGAGCTAATCTCATGGTGTTCAGGAAGGAAGAGAATGTTTGGAAACTGACTGTGACAGCACTAGTACAATATTGCTTGATGTGATTCAACTATGGAGTGATATGATAACTGAATTAGCACCCAGTAAAATGGGTTTTTTCTTGGGGTGGGGTGGGGCGGAGTAAGTGTCTTTAAGACAAATACATATAATTGTAAAGGTTAATGATGGAAGGAGAGAAATCGGAAAACCATACTGCCTTACCTCGTCCAGGATTTCCTGGGAAATTGTTGCTCTTTGTAGGAAACAAACTAACCCACTCACAGCAAAAACTAAGGGGCTGTGAATAATATGGATGCATTTCACTTTTCCCCCAGTGTAGGGGCTGAGACACAGAAGATATTATATAAACATCTTTTGAATGAAAGACAATGAATTGCTAGCCAATGCCTTAAATATTTTCAAATGTTCAGGACCTACGATGGTAAAAAATGATACCTCAACCCCAGGTCTCTCTGTATTTGTGTTAACAGCTCTCAGGAAACATGCCTTATTTGTTTCAAGAACCAGGTAAAGAAAGAGCTAAACAAGGATTTACAAGGGGTATGGTTCCTATGAAAACAAACTATTCAAGAAGGTTTTACCCACAGACAAAAAATCCTTGACAATTGGGAGACCCAGATAGCTCTCTGTAGAGTTAATGCTATTTTCTCTGTGTTGTGAAATAAATAGTACATAGAACTGAGGGAGTATAGGACCAGTAGAAGCAACTGGTAACGATCAATATATAAAAGTCTATGGAATGCAATTTTAGTTAAAAAATATGTGATGAATAATGAAAGCCACTCTTAAGATAACCCAGAGCTTGTAAGAGACTACAGTTCGGTGGAACGGGGTGAGTCTCATCATTGATGTCATTTTCGAGCATAATCGTAAAGTCCCCAGACAAACACGACGAGTCTGTTTTATGTCACAATTTCTGTGCTTTGTAAGTACAGATGATACTTTCAGACACAAACCAGATATCATGTGGTTTCCTGGGAGCGAGAGGATTCATATATAAAGAAGGAACCTGCAGATGATGGTCCTACAGCAGCAGCAGCTAGGAAGCCTCTGGAACATTGAAAGGAGACAATGGGCAGCCTGGGCAGCCTGCCTCTGCTTCTGCTGCTGCTCTTCCGTGTGGGGGCTCAAAAGCAGGACTTGGATTTGGTTCAGGTAAATGCGGCATTTCACATGCAAGAGTTGGCATGCATCCTCCTGTCATGATATGAAGGAGCTTGTTTAAGTATCTATGTCCTCTCGAGATAACTTGGGCAGTGATGGGTCAGAAATAGCCTCTCCCCAGAATTGTATCTAGTTCAACCGTAGAGTTTCCTTTACCAGTTGTAGGTGAGAGAAACGGAAAGGAGTGGTGTGCAACACTCTCTCTCTCAATTGTAATCCAGACTTCATCATAACTAATGGTACTGAGAGTTCTACTTTGAATTCACATTTTTCACCCACAATAATAAGGATGAAGATCATGCTGTCTAAACATGAACTTGGAGAGCAGCTCTCTGCTGGACCTGAGACTTCATGTGGTCCATTGCGTTTGTCACGAGGAAGCTTTCCCATCCAGCATCCGCTTGATGGCAGGGAGTTTGGTTTGGGTTGCTGGCAACAACTTAATCTTTTCCCAGAAATACCTGGAAAACTACTACAACCTGAGGAATGACGGAGACCAAGCTGAAAGGCAGAGAGACGCAAGTCCAGTGGTTGAAAAGCTGAAGCAAATGCAGAAATTCTTTGGGCTAAAGGTGACTGGGAAGCCCGATGCTGACACCCTGAATGTGATGAAGCAGCCCAGATGCGGCGTGCCAGATGTGGCTCCGTTTGTCCTCACTGCTGGGCAACCTCGGTGGGAGAAGGCACAACTGACCTACAGGTAACCAGACAGGGCGGCAGCATGCCAGTGCTATTCAAACGACAGTGATAAGAAAGAGAGTGTGGCTTTGTTCTCCCCCATTTCCTTCGAAGGATTGAAAATTACACACCGGATTTGCCTCGTGCTGTCGTGGACCGTGCGATGGAGAAAGCCTTTCAACTCTGGAGTAGTGCCTCCCCGCTGAGGTTCACCAAGCTCTCTGAGGGCCAGGCGGACATAATGATCTCCTTCGTGTGGGGAGGTAAGTCCTCTTGTATCGTGAAAGCATCCCTGCCTTAGTTTCACTTTCCTCCCCGAGCCCCCAGCCCGGCAGCTAGAATGCAGGAGTCAGGCGGAGCGTGGACTCTGGGCTTCAGGAGGCAACTGCACCATGCTCGAGGAAGTCCGGGGCCTTCTAACAAAGCCATGCGCCTCTGGCTGCCTCGCTCTCAACGAGGACCAAGGAGGAGGATGGTTTGCGGAATCCTGCTTGTTTGCAGATCACCGTGACAATTCTCCCTTTGACGGGCCGGGAGGAAACCTTGCTCACGCGTTTCAGCCAGGCCCCAACCTTGGAGGGGATGTCCATTTTGATGAAGATGAACGATGGACCAACAACTGCAGCCGTGAGTGTGCCCGTTTCTCTTCTATCGTTCCTCCGCCCAGTTCATTGCAATATTCATTGGTTTAACTGAAGCACACATTAATGGAATTATGCATTGCTATGGTCACTTAGAAAAATGATATATTTACAGTCATGTAAACGAAGTTTATTTCTCCAAGTAGCAACATTTCATTGATGGAAAATGTGCACTCTGAAAAATTCTATTTGAAAAATGTTTTAAAAACCCAGCATGCTTTATTGTGGGTATCTTCATTGACTCGTTGGAACTAGGACACATCATAATTTAACAGTGGTAGTAAAAGTATATAGAATTTTAAAGAAGGGAGAGGTTTTTAGTTTTGTAAATAGGGGAAATATTTAATGTTAGTTGAACTTCATTGCCTCTCTGAGAAATCATTGGTGCCACCCAGTTAATGACAAGATTGATTAATCTATCCATATGTTAGTCTATCCTTTAGTTATCCAGCACTTAGTTTATCCAGTGTCATCCTAGTGAGACTTTCACAACTATCAAATTCATTCCTTTATTTCAGAAAAATGGATTTATATATATTGCAAAATCTCACTGTGAAATCATCCCTTGTACAGTGTGACCTCCTTTTTATTTAAATGAGGCCAAGACTAAGCCTATTTCAAATAATTGCAAACCATGTTTGTGGACATTTTTAGATTATAACTTGTACCGTGTGGCAGCTCATGAATTGGGCCATGCCCTTGGACTCGCTCATTCTACTGACATTGGGGCTCTAATGTACCCCAAATACATCTTCAGTGGTGATGTGCAGCTCTCTCAGGATGACATCAACAGCATCCAGACCCTCTATGGTGAGTACAAAGGAAGACGCCATGGAGGAGAGGACATGTCTAATAGGACAGCCTCTAGCTCTACCCTAAGATGCTGACTTTGGCTGTTGACGTTCTTTTCAGGGTCAGCCTAAGCCAATCACATGTCTCTCTGTGTCATTAGGATCTTCCCCAAATCACAACCTGCCAATAGACCCCCAAGCCCCCCAACCTTGTGATACAAAGCTTACCTTTGATGCTATAACTACAGTTCGAGGAGAGGTGATGTTCTTCAAAGACAGGTGAGACAGCACTTATTTGTACTTTGTATTTGCAATAACAGCATTCGCTACTATGAACTCCACGGGACAGTTTCACATGCTATTTGCCTGCTATTTGTTTGTATTTATAGTGATGCGGTGTAACTGCTTACATCTATACAATGTAATTTACGTGTAGCAATTTGGTTTCCCCGCAAATATTATGTCATTTGGGTCTCAGAAAAACACCACTGAAACAGAAGATGAACGAATACAATCCCAATGTGCACATCTGAAAAGCCAGAGAAGTGGCTCGTTCAGGGCCAGGAGGTCACCGTGGCCGAGCAGTGCACTCTAGGTCCTTCTTACTGCATCTTCATTTTATCTTATTTTTCTTGATTAAAAGGCTCCTCTTGAATTAAAAGGCTTTTTATTGTGAGTTAGGTGAGAGCTGAAAGAGCGGATCAGTGTCACATTAAACAGCTCACACGCAGCTTGGTTCAACTCTTCCATCACAATCTCTCAGTATTCTGCTTTCTCCCTGTGCTTCCTGGTCCCACCCCTCCTTCCCCCCTAATCCTCTGAGCGTGGTTTGGATACGTGCTGCCTGTGTGACCTGAAGTGGTTGATCCTTCTAATAGGTGGGCTAGGTTCCAGATTTGAAGAGACCCTAAGGGTCACAGTCTTGGAGCGGTGGGGGAGGGGGGGGGGTTCACCTGTCTTCTTCTGACCAATTAGCTTGGTCTCTAAGATGACTTTGAATTTTATTCCCCATATCTTTCCCATTATCTCCATGGCCTTCTAATCATGCTACCTCTTTCAGGTATTTCACCATTTAATTAGGAAGTGACTAGCCCTTTTCATAGGAAACCTAGTGCTGCAGCAGTTACAGGTCACAGCTACAGTGGTGACAGCTCAAACGGTTTAGACTTTCTATTCCATGAAGAATCACAGCCTCAGCTCCACCCTGTCCTGTAGGGTCACTGTGAGTCAGTGCTGACTCCAAGGCCAAGGCCATTTTGTAGCACCCTCAGGTGGATGAGAGTGATCCTTCTCATCCTGCAAAGATGCCCCTCCTAAAACCCACGCTCCCGGCAAGTCTCTGCTGTCCACCAGCAGACCCAGAGAAGAGGAGTAATTGAGGGGAGAATTTTCAAGACCTCATAGGATCCCCTAGGGCAGTTATGGGTGCACCCCTCCCCTGCGCTTCCTCTGTGGGTGTCGATGCAAAAATACAAGGTCCCTGACACACAGGAATCAATCTGCTCTCCCTATCATCCAAGTCACTGAAAGACCCAGAAAATCATCACACACACTTTCTGAATGATGCGGTCTCTAAAAGGCCGGGCCTGTGAGGAGCCTCCTCACATCTGAGCCGAGTGGAAGGCTTCGTTCCACTCCGCGGACCAGGCACCCTTCTTGCAGACTTGTGGTTTCGGATCTACGGCTGTGGAGGCGACTCTCTCCCGCAATGCAGTTTATTGACTTCTAACACTTTCCCGCCATCCTGTTCTTTCCTATCAGACCGGATGTCAATCATCCAGGGCCCGGCTCATTTCAGGGAAGTGTCAAAATGTCCTTTTTGTTGGGTTTAAAGAAAAGCTCTCCAGATAGAGCTTAACTATCAAGGCAAGTATTTGAGGATTGCTCCACGGGTCTGGGGTTGGCAGAAATGGAAAGGACGTGAAGGGAATTTAAATGTCACCATGCCTCGAAACCTCAGCTGTCACCTGCCATGTTGCTTGGCTGAGGTTCCAGAGGCAGGCTAAAACGCAAAGTCACATTCCTGATGGCCAGGCCACAGACTTGTCTGTGCACCACGCCCGGTGTGAGCTTTCCTCTCCCATCACTGGTTCGTTCAGGGTCATCTTGAATCTGGAAGGCTCTTTGCTTGTCCCGTGGCACAGTCTGTGCCCGCAATTAGTCTAGTCTCTATAGAGTATAGAATCAAATAAGCAAACCTTACCAAAGTGTGACAATGGGAGTGGCTACCACTTCTAACCTTAGATTAACCACAGTCTTTGATACGTCCATAAGCATCTTCAAGTTTTCTTCTGTGAGTTGGAAATAATTGTCTCTAGAAGGGTTTTTTTGAGGTGAGGCATGATGAAGGTTTAGGACCTGACATACTCTACATTAATACTAACTGTGGGATATTACTGTTGTTTTCATTTCAGTTTTGTCCTACTTGCTTCTCAAAGGGCATTGTTACACTTTTAAAAGCCAATTATTAAAATTTTAAGAGCTGATTGTTAAGCCAAGACATTATTAAAATTTGAATGGTATACACTTAAAATTTTTTAAATGATATAAAAGTCAAAGCAATACATAATTAAACCCATCACTTCCTAATTATCTTTACCACACTTTATCTCTGTTTTTGAATGCAGTGTCATACCACGGAGTGCTAGGCACTGTACAGTTACCAGGATACTACTAAGTTAGCAGTGTGAAGAAGTTGGATGCCCACCAGAGATTGCTAGGAATTAGACGAAAATCTTTTTTGTTCTCCTTCTTCCCCCCAATCAGGTTCTGCATGCGCATACATGACCTGTACCCAGAAGTTGAACTTGACCTCGTTTCTGTTTTCTGGCCCTTTCTTCCAAATGGTTTTGAAGCTGCTTATGAAGTTGTCTATAGAGATGAAGTCCGGTTTTTCAAAGGTGATATTTCTGTATAACTGTTTTCATGGATTCAATTTTCATCAGTTTGAGAAGTGCAATTATAGACTAGTAGGTACTTTTTACCCCATTACCTTTTTGAGTCCTGGTGGTATAGTGGCTACGTGCTGGGCTGTGATCCACATGATTAGCAATTCAAAACTGCAAGTAGCTGTGTGGGAGTTAGTCCTGCCGACAGTTTCAGGAACCCACAGGTGCATTGGTATGATCCAGCATTGACTCGATGGCAGTGAGTGTGAGGTTTGGTTTGACCTTTTGAAAGCTCTAACAACCTCACATGCCAAATCAAGGGGAGTCCCTCGCCATATTACAAATTGAACATTGCACAAACCATTTTGAATAGAAAGCAAATGGCTGAACATACACATTTTTGGATTAATCTGTTTTTGAATATGAACTGCTATGAAAGCTTTCTGGGACATTAGTTATATATTTAAAGCTGGTTACGAGTTGCCCTTCAATTTGATGTAGACCCATAGTGACGTCATGTGTCAGAGTGCAATTATGCTCGACAGGGTTTCACCACTGATGTTAAGGAAGTAGATCATAGACCAGGGGTGCTCACACTTTTTCAGCACGCAAGCTACTTATAAAATGATCAAGTCAAAATGATCTACCAACTACAAAAATGCTATACACTTATTTTATTTATTTATTACATTTATTCATAAATGCATTGAGAATTCCTTATATGTATAATGTATGCTTATGTACCTTGTATAACTACATGAGTCCATATTGCACAGCACAACATAATGAACTATGCATATTTTTGGTCATTATCTGAGTTTACTCTGATGACTTGCACTGAATGGAATGAGCCAGGGATGCATAGTCCGGACAGTAGCCACTGACAGCTAGCCTCAAGCACACATTCCCCCATTCATGGGGGAATGGTACTTGGACTTAATGATCTTTGTGTGGGAAAAGGCTGACTCACAGAAATAAGTAGAGCTGAATAATACAGTCAAGGAGGTAGCACGTTTTCTCATGTTTGGATACTTTCCCTCTGCGAGCAAGTTCCAGAACTGTGCATGCGCTCTGGACTTCAGCTGAATGTCGGCTTTTAGTGTCAAATTCTCCCATTCCATACGCAAGTGATACGTTTTTGTCTTCTTACTGGGCCAGGCCCCCACTCAATTTAATAGCCTTTCTTACGTTTAAGAGAGAAAAAAACAAGGTCTAAACATTGGTGATAACTTAGCTGGTCAGTTTTGCTGCACTTAGCACAGTTGTTTCTGCATGCATTTGACACCTAAGATTGCATCTGATTGGCTGCACTGTATATCATTTAAGAGACAGGATTGATGATAGGCTTACGTCTATTTTTTTAATGCCATGCGATCTACCCACACTACATTTACGATCAACTGGTAGATCGCGATCAACGTATTGAGCGCCCCTGACATAGACCCTTTTCCCAGGCACTTCTGGGTGGACACAAACCTCTAACCCTCCAAGTTGCCCTACTCAGTTTCTGTGTGTTTATACTCCACCCTATATTTCTTGGGGCATCTACAAATAATATTGAGAAATTGGCCTAATTTTACAGGGTACGGGATTGGAATGTTGTTGTGTCTGATTCCCTGGTACTGATCTCAGTACAAAAAGCCTCTCAGTAGTGTAACCTTTTGTACTCGTCTGCTGGGGGCGAGACTTCGTCTCACATACTTTGGACATGTTGTCAGGACAGACCAGCCCCTGGAGAAGGACATCATCTTTGGAAGAGTAGAGGGGCCGTCAGAAAGGGCCTCAAGGTGCTGAGATGGATGGACATGGTGACTGCAAGCAAGAGGATCAAGCCGCCTAGGAACCATTGCGAAGATGGTGCAGATTGGCAGTGTTTCCTTCTGTTGTGCATAAGATCGTGAAGGGTCGGAACCAGCCTGATGGCACTTAACAACACCTGATGGCAAAATGGGTTGTGCACTGGGCTTGCTCACCTCCAAGTCAGCAGTTCAAAACTATCAGTAGCTCCAAGGGAGTAAACTGAGGCTTTCTACTTCAGTCTTGGAAACTTACAGGGGCTGCTCTGCCCTGCCTTGGACAGTAGCTATGAACCAGAATCAATGCATTGGCAGTAAGTAACCTAAAGCAAAGACACCTATGGGTAGTTCTACTCAGTAACACAAGATTACCTTGAGTCGGAGTCTTGTGTGGACTTCAGGCGGCAATGGATTCATAGAACGGGAGAGAGCCGGATGGACACATTATAGCCTCTCTTTCAGCGTATGACCCACAAACCAACAGCCTCCTCGCACTACAGAAGTCTGTCAGCAGTACCAATTCTTGGCTCGTGTCCCAGACCCTCTTGGGCAGAAACTGAATTGTAACAAGATTTTCAGGCAAATCATAGCTCAGAAGGTACAAGAAGTATTGAATTATTGTCAACAGAATAGGATAAACCTCTTTGACTTTATCAGAATGAATCACCACCTAGTGGTAAGCAAGGAGGACACTCTCCCAAACACATGCATTTTTGCAAATATACGTTCGGCACAGTGCAGACAAGCATTCAGACACTTGGCCCAATCGCAAACACAAATAACTAAACAGTTGAGATGGGCAAAAAGGCTTTCTAGCTCTTATGCTATAAAGTTGAAGCAATTTCTAACTGCCTTTTTAATGGGTTTTCATATGTGTAAAAAGATGAATAAATCCTTCAGGACCTAAAATCCCTTTTATGTGATGCAGGGGTTTCTCAGTGTAAACATACAGAAACTGGTCCCAGCATAAATGTAAGTATTTGTAAATTATTCTAGTTAGATGCAATTATTTAACCCAGCACTGAAGGTCATTACACGGCTTGGGTCCCTAGCACACTATGCCCCTAAAAATAGCATCTGTGTGCTTCCACTGCCCATGAGCGATCTAGAGAAGTGAGTTTTCTACCCCTGAAGGGGATGGTGGACTCTACTCATGTCTACATGTGGCTGGGCAAAAAGCCCTCCACCCCATAGATCAGCCATTCTCCAAACTTGCTACAGATTAGAATCACCTAGGAAACTTTCAGAAATATGCTGACTTAATTGATGAAGAGTAAGGTCATTGTCAGGACCCTTCCAGCAGGTGAAACAAGAGAACTTGATGGAAACTTGCTTAATCACACCCCCACACAAACCACTGTTTCTTGGTTTCCAGGTAACAAGTACTGGGCTCTTCGGGAGTACGACTTGCTCTATGGATACCCAAGGTCCATCTACACATCCTTTGGCTTTCCTAAAACTGTGAGGAATATCGATGCTGCTGTTTCTGAGGAAGAGACTGGGAAAACATATTTTTTTGTTGCTAACAAGTACTGGAGGTAAAGACTGACCGCAGGGAAAATTCAGGATTTCCGTGCTCTCTGCATAGAAAGAAAGGTCTGAGCATTTCAAAGCGAGGCTCATATTGTCATGACTCACATCCTTCTCTGTGGACTGAGTTAGCCATGCCAGCACCTACTTAATCTGTCGATGAATTCTCTTCCTGTCATACCTGTCCTGGGAGTCCAGGGAGCTTGTAAGGCTACATTTTTATAAAGAGATGCAAGAAACGAAGGCCTTCATCCTTACAGAGCTACTTTAGTCAAAAAGCAACTTATCTTTCTTAGGATTTCCTCCCAATGTTACCTAATACGGAGCTTATTGGGAAACTGGAATTAGTGATGGAGTTCAGAGGACCCTTGTACAACTGCCAGTCCGCCCACATCCTACCTCCCTCACATACCGTGCTCCACGTTAGAAATGACCTGTGGAGTGAAATGTGCTTATTGAATGTTACTGATGAGTTTCTCTTAATGATTTTGAGACGTTTAGAAGTCTAGCTAAGATCTGACCTGCCAATTCTTTCTCGAACAGGTATGATGAATATAAACAATCCATGGATAGGGGTTATCCCCAAATGATATCCCATGGATTCCCTGGAATTGTCAGCAAAGTTGATGCGGTTTTCAAGAAAGATGGTAATTGAATACATGTGCATCTGGTACATTTTTGTCACAGCAGCAGTTGCAGATTGCTACTGAGAACAGAAGTTATTTGTGTTCACAAATGACGGCGCTATTTAGACTTCTAGTTAAAATGAGAAACTTTTTATATTATTATGGTAAGTCTGTTTGTTTTTTACTTCTAGGATTTTTCTATTTCTTCCATGGAATAAGTCAATTCAAATATGACCCTAAGGCTAAGAAAATTTTGGCCGTCCGGAGAGCGAATAGCTGGTTCAACTGCTGAAAGAATTGACCATCTGTTATCAACTGTGGAATAGAAAATTATACTGTGTAAGCTCAAAGAAGGTGTTTTTCTGAACAGCTACATATTTTTCAGTGTTTTATTTAATCTTGACTAACCCTGATGCACAGTTATTATGAATACAGCTGGCATGTATTTTATATGTTAGAATGTGTTTTTATACTGATATAGGTTAGTTATACAAATGAGGACTAGGAATGTGCGCAGTTTATAAATGCATATGAGTCGACTGGATTTTGCAAAGAGCAAAAGTCTTTTTCCATAGTATTAGAGTCCGGCAATAGTCCTGACTTGCAGTGTCAGTGATGAGCACCTCTTCTCAAGAGAGAAAAAGATGAAAGACAAGTTTTCACCAAAGGAACATGTGGGCAGCCTTTAAATCATTCTGATGTGCAAGAGCAACTCTCTGACAGACAAAAAAGTGCCTAAACTTTGATATTAAACCACCTTTGTCTCCTCAGCTTTAAAAGCCTTTTCTTAAGCTTTGACCTTTCTACATGTACATACGTTTCTGTTTTATTTTATTTTTGCTGTTAAAATAACGTGCTTTCAGTAATGGAAGGCATTTTGAATAAAATTTTTAAAAATCTAATTGTATGGATTTTTACACACTTATTGGGAGACACGGCCTGGGGTTGAGGACAGTTTCTTCAGATTTGTGTAGTAATAGAGGCTTCCACCAGATGGCGTAGTACACTAACAGTGGAATCGCAGCTTCCCACTCAACTTCAAAATGCAATGCCATGAAAATACTAGCTCACAGGGACCGTATGGGGCAGGGTAAAACTGCCCCCTGTGAATTCCTAAGAGCTTTCTCCCGTGAAACCGCTGGCAGTTTAGAATTGCTGACCCTGTGGTTTGCAGCCCAATGTTTAACAACGAACAGCCCCAAGGGCTCCTTCAGAAGCAGAAAATATAGGTGAACACTATATGTCCCATAGGTCTCAAATGGGTTAACTGCTATATCCCAATGCTAACACCACACTGATTTCAAATTTGAAACGAGAAGACAAAAATAGAGATTAAAAAAAATGTATGTGGGTGGTTAGGCTATAAAAAGTTTCCAACATTCTTTACTGTAAAGGAATTAATGTCATATAGCACAGATACTATCAAATCCAGGTATGTCAGAGTACAACTGGGCCCCACAGGGCTTTCCAGGGTGTGCCCTAGGGTTGTCTATAGTGTTGGTGAAGAATACTGTAAGTCCCACCGACTGCCAAAAGAACATACAAGTCTGTCTTGGGAGGACAGCCAGGATGTTCCTTAGAGGCAAGGAGGCACTTTGGATATGTAATCAGGACAGACCAGTCCTTGGTAAAGTGGAGGAGCGGCATAGAAGAGGAAGGCCCTCCATGAGACGGATTCACACGTGGCTGCAACAATGGCTCACACATCGGCACCATTGTGAGGCTGGCACAGGAGCAGCAGGGTTCCGCTCTGTGGTACACAGAGGTGCTATGAGCTGGAACCAAGTTGATGGCACCTAACAACAACGGGGTTTTCCATGACGGATTGTTCAGAAGTAGTTCACAGGGCTCTTGTCACAGGCACCTTTTGGTAGACTTGAGCTTCCAGTCTAAGTGCATGTACCATTTGTAACCTAGAGAGTCTTCCTGTATCATACATGGGGTGGAGGGAGACTCTTTGCCTTGCCAAATACTGATTTCAAAGTTGGTTTTAGATAAACCAAGACAGCATGGTAGAGCTTCCTGGTGTCTGCCACTTTGCCTTCTGCCACATGGATGGTGACATTGCCCCACAGTCCCACCACCTCACAATTGCAGGTATTGAGGAGTGAGCCTCTGATGTTTTATGGCCAGTGGGTTGTGCACAGAAGTGACTGGTATTTCTTCCAGGAAGAAACATCTGACTACTGGGTACAAATCTCTTTGTTCTTCTGCACCACTGCTGTGGTGACAAAGAAGCCTGATTGCTGGGCTAACACTGGATAAATTTTCCTTGATGGACAGGTGCACTCTTGCTGTGCAAAGTCACTGATATTTTAGAATTCATTAAAGCTGAATAAGCTAGTTTATCTAGATAAGCATTATCTAGCTTTTAATGATTAATTTGGGAACTTTAAGGATTACCTGGATGGTGAAAATGACTTATGTGCTTGACAACCAAGCCAGTGGGTTTTGTTTGGGTATTTCCTCAGAAAACTGATTCAAGAAGTACTTCAAATGGGTGGGTCCTCAGTCAGTTTCAAAGGATTGAGCTCCACTTTGCTAATGGCTTTGGCCGATGGCGACTTTGTGTTGCCACTCCAGTTTTCCTGCTTTGTTTGTCTCTCCTTGTCCATCAGCACAGCTCCTTGGATCACATGACTCATTGGATACTTATGTTTTGTCTCACACTACACTTTACAGGGACAGTAGAGTAAACTAGACTGTTCTTGAAGTGGGGAAGTGACACCTGTTGGTATTTAGTGGCATCACAATTACTAACATTCTCAGCTATAGTTCATTTTCAGGAAACAAAGGTGGATAAAATAATAATGGGCTAGGTTATCAAGTGGTTGTGACAGTTGAGAAGCATGAAAGGAATGGTAATTTAATTAAGAAGAGTGCACTATTAAGGGCATTGATTACAAGATTAAAGAAACCCCACCCAGTGGCATTGAGTTGATTCTGAATTCTAGTGACCTTATGGAGCGTTTGCAAGTCTGTACATCCCAACTGGAGCAAGAGTCCCATCTTTCCCCCCAGAGAAGCTGGTGGGTTTGAGTTGAAGACTGTGTGGTTAGCAGTCTACATGTACAAGACAGTATGACCAGGGCTCTTTTGATCCAAAAGAGAGCAGCCAAATGTCAACACAGCTCATGCAAGCTGACAGACATTAATGACAACATTTAAGGAAATATTCATCTATTGTAAACTGTGCTTGAAATCCATCCCAGAATCTAATTACAAAGGTGATGCATGGTAGTGTAGATAACAGATGAAAAAACTTGGAAATCTTAAACATCAAGATTTTCCTGAAAATGTCACATGGGCAGAAGAAGTATATTACTCAAAACTACCTGCTCTGTGATGAGTCCTTACAGGATAAAGATTGTCCTGCTCCTAAATTGCCTGACCACTTATCGATATTTCCTGGGCAATAGCTAAGTTCAGCACAATTCGAATCCTAACGACGAGAGAGAACATGTCATACACCAAAACAAAAGAATAACTGACCACTAAATATTATCAGGAACCAAGGGAACATAAATGTGAGTGAAACTTAAACATGTAAAACTAGGGTAGGAGAACAGAAGATGGACAGAAAAGAATTGATGGA